TCTCTCATTCACTACTTATTTGCAGCAATTCGGATATATAGTAAATATCACATGACTTCCATTCTGAAATAAATTTATGTAAATAACTTTATGACAGAACATCACAAATAAAATAATGACCACTTACAGTCCCCTGAACTTCCTTTGAAACGATAATTATGCAAACGATTACAATAATTAAATTAATTAATTTCATGTTTTTTTATAAAAACTTATTTTATGAAATTACAACGTTATTTATTTACTGAATATCGGATAACTTTGTTTCTATATGAAATTTATTAACATACTGCTAATAAAATTTTCTTCTAATAAGATTTAATATTGTAACTAAAAACCACAAGTTTTTTCCTATTTGTAAATATTAATAAAAGTATGTTTATAGTTTAATTTTACTTAAATAGAAATCTAGATTTGGAGAAAAATAAATCATTGTCAAGTTTGGATTGTATCCGGCAATACCATCATCAAAGTATGTTATTGGGTTAAATTGATAACTGATAGTGCCCAATTTTAATATATATATATATGTGTTCAATAATATATGTTTCTTCAATGTGAATCCTATCGTCATTTAAATAGAAGGACGGACATGATAAGCAATATCTACCTATAATATCATCTAGCCCCCATACAAGTGACGCCCCAAAATACAACTTAAAGATTCATAAATTAAATTAAAGATTCATTAATTATAAGACACAAACTAGTGTATAGAAACCAAAATGTTTCTACTAAAATTTCGATTAGGTATATTGATTATATCACCAATACAAGGTCCCTAGTCTGCATTTAACTCCCCTTGCTGAAAACCCTTCTATTGTAAACAATTATGGAGTTAAAAAAATCGACAAAAGCTACTTTTTGGAAAATATTATTCACCATTCCAAATTATGTTGAGCCCGGTCCAAAATTAACTCCAGTTGCTATAAGCATCCTCAGACCTAGACCCATATATTGGGCTAAAACCTAGGTCTATACAGTGGACCGCCTTGCAAAACTAACTTTATTTTATAACATACGTTTTGATGGGGGTTCTTTGATGAAAATCTTTCCATCTATCTCCGCTTAGGACTTTGGAAAAACGCCCTGTATTTACACCCTATTTTAATTAAACAAGTTAGAGTGCTTTATTCGACTATGACGGATCTTAAATAGACTCCATCAAAAAGCAATTTTCTAGCGAAACCCATCTAACTTACACGGGTATAATGACCTGTTATGGCCCGATGCATTTGAAGAATGATTTGTCATGATATTTACAAAACGTGTTCCTGTCGAACTTTATTCAGATGTCGATATGTTTTCATAAATAAAAAAAATTTTGAAACAATGTTGATGACCTTATATGAGAGCTATGACCAATAATGGACCAATTCGAAATAATTTGGTTGATTTACGTGGTAGTTCACTACACGCGAACTGTCAAGTAGAATCGAAGAGACTCCGTTTTGACCGAAATAATTTAACAGAATGATTTATCTGATTTATCCGGCTATAGTCATTTAATAATGAATTATGTGGTACTAAATGATTTTTAGAAGTGAACCTTATATGAAACTATGACCAATGATGGACTCGGTCCGGAAAAAATCCGTATAATGATTTATATATACAAAAAACTCATTCATGTTGAATTCCAATTTGACTGTCTATTGTGCTTTTAAGTGATATTCGGAAGTGGACCTTATATGGGATCTATGAACAATTGTGGTCTGATCCGGAATAAAATTTCGTTGAATGATACATTCATAAACAAAATATATTTAAGTCGGATTTTAACCCGATAGCTTTATTCATCAAAGAAATATGTACTTTTAAGTGATTATCGGAAGTGGACCTTATATAGGAAATACGACCGATTACGGGCCGATCCGGTAAAAATTTAGCTGAATGATTTATATAAATATATTCAAGTAAAATTTTATGCCGATATCTTTCTTCATCATTGAAATATGTGCTTTTAAGTGATTTCCTTAAGTGTACCTTATAAGGGACCTATTACCAATTGTGAACTGGATTCGGAAAAATTTTCACTGAATGATTTATATATACACAAAATATATTCAAGTCAAATTTTAACCCGCTAGTTTTATTGATCAACGAAATATGTGCGTTTAAGCTATTTTCGGAAGAAAACCTTATTTGGGAGCTATGACCAAGTGTGGACCGATTCGGAAAACATTTCGCAGAATGATTCATATATACTCAAACCCTTCTAAAAACATATACATGTCAAATTTTATCGCGATAGCTTTATTTATCAATGAAATATGCATTGCGTTTAAATGATTTTTAAAAGTGGACCTTATATGACAACTTTGACCAATTGTGGACCGATACAGATCTATGTTGGTAATATGATTTCTATTGATATTATATTTACCTACATACACAATTTTGTATTGATACCGATATATATGAGAGAGTTAATAACGATAAATTAATTTCCGGGAATATGTACCTTTGTATAGGGGCTATGCTATGGTTTTGTACACAATTGATCCCTAGGAAAAAAAAACGTGTAACAAAATTAATTGAATTATCTTTGGTAGTTTCTGAGAAAACAACTTAATAATTTGGAAAAAATATATACATATATATAGGTAGTCTGAAATTTTCACTCAAAACTTCTTACGTTGTGAATCGATTTTTCTGATTTTCAATACCTAACTGCTTAGGATAACAACGAAACTTTTTAATGAATTTATTTGATGTCGTTTGCTTAGTTTCAAGGACATAGCTAAATCGATTCATAAGGGCCCGGAAAATATCTCCTTTGTTGGGTTTCTGATGATTATTTCTTGGTGTTGCACACATCATAACAAACTTATATATACCCTCTATCACCACTTAAGGTTGTGGATGGTATAAAAATTAATTTTATTTCAACTTTTATAATTATTTCTTTTATTAACATTTCGCAGAAAATATCTGATTCTAGCCAATATTAATATGGATATTGACATTCGTCTGATGATTGTGATGATTATTATTGCCGTGTAGTGAGTTCTGGAAAGGAAAATTAATAAGTATATGCAATGATAAAAAGAAATTGCTTTAAAACTTACACCTCCTGGTTTAATTGCACCTTTGCCTTTAATCCCACCTTTACCGCCTCTTTTTGGTGCACCCAGTACACCAGACATTATTAGAGCGGCAATCAAGATTAGCTGTAATAATTTCATACTTAGTTTTAAATTGTTTATACAGATTGATATTCTGTTGTATTCTAAGTATGATGAGTAAATGGTTTCAAAGTATCATACTTACAAAACTATTGATACTTACGTTGTATGTATATTATGTAGATTTATACGTTATTAAAAAATATAAATAAGTATTGTGTTTAATTGCGGTCAATCCTAAAAATATTGTCAATATGGTGTAAAGTACTTTTGTTTTTATACTCACCATTAAAAATACGGGGATTTTATTATACGACACGATTAGCCTTATAAAGGCAATACCAAGTTTTTGCTTAAAAGGTTCATTTGGTATTAAAAATTAGTAATATAGGATCATAACATAGACCCCATAAAAGTGTAGTAATCGTGAAAAAGTTCTCTGTACCCGCAAATTAAACTGTAAAGTCTTATTTCACGGTGGTCTTTCATCCACTGGGTAGACTAGAGATGGTCTACCACGCGCCCCTGAATCCTTCTATGAAGAACTCAGTTTGCAATTTTTGTACACGACGGAGCAGGTCCATGTACAAGCACTTTATTGAAGAACTTTAGCTATCGAATCTCTTGCCATAGTAGCCCCGATGCGGAATGACAGGCAGCAAACCCCGACCGGTCTAAAGGCAATAGAATGGGCGACAAAACCCAACATCAGGTGAAATCAATCTTCCGGTATACCGGAAGGTGACCACCCTTATGATGTCATGAAAGATTGCATTATTTAAAATGCAATCCCCATCAACTAATGACCCATTCCTGTGCATTCCTTAACCTCTTAAAGCCCGCGCAACCACACTACTGAGATGGCTCTGTTGATTCGGCAACAGCATCTAGAGACATATTTGGTCGTTAGAAATATCCAGCCAATAAATCAGGATCCCTCTTTATGTCAGATAATGTGACAAAGGATATAGAAGTTTCCAAAGTCAATTCGAAGCCAAAAATTGCCCCGACAGGTTGAGTGGTGGACCTGAACCATAAGTCGCGTAGCATGAAACAATATGAATCCTGTTGAGCACCGAGAACTTCCTTGAAGTGAAAGGTCTACTAAATCAGTACTAGTCTCCTGTCGGGTAGAGGAGTCTTTCCCGATCGTTCACCGATTACATCAGTTCCATTCTCAGACCAAAAGAACGATCTACCGAATGACAGGCAACTACCAAGTGTCAACCTGAAAATTCCCCAACATATACTGGCGCCCTACTACGCGAAGAGTAAGAGATACTCTACGGGTTCAGGAATCCAGCATAAGTTGCTCTATCACATCACCCAGTGACATCTTTTGAGATGGCAACAGCACCGGAGAGAGAATACATACATATTTGACATTTAGATATATCATTCCTTAAACCAACATTCTCTCCCCGCGAATTTGGTTAAAAACCACAGCCACCACGTGGATCCCGAAGGAACCTCAACCAATTGACTGGTCAGGACTAGGTCCTGTGGGCAACCCGCCAACCGTAGTGCCGGATTATATGGTTTTTTTATTTAGCCTTAATTCCTTACTGTTCTGCATTTTATATAAAACCTTTTCAGAATATAAAATTGGAGATAATAAGAAATATATATCTGAAGTTTTAGTAAAATCGAATAATGTTAACCGATTTAAATGAAACTATATAATGAAGACCCGTACTTATGATGATATTGAAAAAAACATCAAAATTAACCCTTAAACTTAAATATTTATCAATTCCATATGCCAAGAAAATTGTGGGTGATAAAGTGAAACAGATATCAGACTCTGATTCAGTACCTAAGAATACATAAAATCAGGTCAAATTGGCATTAAAATGTTTTTTTAAATCTTCATTTCGTTGGCCTATGTAAATTGTTTTTAATTTAGCAAATAATAATATAACTAATATATACAATATTTAATCATTAACTTTAGCCAATTACAACGTTGACATTAACATTCGTCTGGTGATTGTTATGGTTATTACTGCCGGATACGGAATTCTGAAAAAAGTATATAAGATTATGTCATTAAAATAAATATAATTAGTTTTGCAAAATATATTTTAAATTAATTCGAATTATACGCAATAATTAACGAATTGCTGTAACCTACACCTCCACCTTTACTTCCGCCACCTACACTTCCACCTTTACTTGCACCACCTACACTTCCCCCTTTACTTGCACCACTTGGACTTCCTCCTTTACTTGCACCACTTGTACTTCCACCTTTACTTGCACCACCTGCACTTCCACCTTTGCTTGCACCACCACCACTTTTACCACTACTTCCACCACTTTTACCACTACTTCCACCACCTTTACCGCCACCTCCTCCACTTTTACCGCCACCTCCTCCACCTTTACCGCCACCTCCTCCGCTTTTACCGCCACCTCCTCCACCTTTACCACCGCCACTATTACCACCACCTCCGCCGCCACCACCTCTTGGTGAACCCAGAGCGGCAACCGTAATGCAAGCGATTATCAATATTATCAGCAGGAATTTCAATTTCATTTTTTATTATTTTTTACAGAATGTTCTGTTGAGTTTAAAGTTTAAATATCTACTGTAGATTGTCAAGAATTTATAATCTAAATCACACTTATTTTATATGAAGAAAACTAAGTATCCATAATTATTAAGATTGTTGTAGAACTATATAATTGTGGTCAGACATAAAAATATTGACAATATCATACGGTAAAGTACAATTCTTTTTTAAAATCTGCATGTATCGAATCTAAATTCATACATATGTTATGTACAACCATCTTAAGATCATGTTTTAAATCGCACTATACTTTCTCTGTAAGAATGCTTCGGAGGTTCTCTTATATGAGAATCACTAAATATACGAATTTGACAATGATCCCTGAATCGACATACCAATTAATTATGGCCGTTTAAGAACCAAAACAAAAGCCGGGTTACACTACCATCCTAAGATCCGCTTGTCTAAATATTCACTCCATACTTTTGACACAAAATTTGGACAATGAAACGTTAGAACATTAAGGAAGACATCAAGACTTGCTCAAGCAAAGACCCAAATGCAAGTATTACCAATGATTACTGCATCCCCAAACCCTTCCTCCAGAGAAACTTTAGTTTCATCATCCCGGATAATACGCGATTGGTGGAGGAACGCTCTCCACGAAGCCTATCCGTTTATACAGATGGCTCTAAACGGGGAGAACGAGTAGGGACAGGCATCTCCATTCGAAAATTTGGAATCAAGATTACTGTCGGAATCAGTTATGATTGTTATCCAATTCAAGCCGAAATATAAGCTATAAAAAGAATAGCAAAACCTCATCTTTACCGACATTCAAGCAGCAATCAGGTCCCTGATAAGTGTATTATACTCTACATCACGACTAGTCCAGGAATGCCAGACATCTTCAAACAGGATGACAAGACATTCAAACATCGTATTCGTATGGGCACGAGGACACGGGGACTCTACAAGCAATTGTATCGCTGATGAGCTCGCGAAAACAGGTTCACTATTGCCCGACTCGGACATAGACCATTTCTGTGGTACTCCGATAGGATTATGCAAAAAGACTCATAGATAATATGTTCTACGAACTTTCCCAGGCAAGATGAAGCAATGAAACAACTTGTATTTAAATGAGAAAGATATGGCCAAAGCCATACGAAACATCTTCTGAAACATAGCCGATCCTAACTCAGCAAAATGCTAGTTGCCATCAGAGGGCTCTGTAAATTTGGTAACCAGGCAATTAGACTAAGAAAACCTCACAATGACTACTGTGGAAGCTGTTAAGATGGAGAAGAAGAGGAACATCTTCTATCTTACTACCATGCATTAGGGAACATTCAACTCCGATATCTAGGACATGGATTTCTGGAGGACACCTCCGAGTCATGTGGAATTAGACTAGATAACCTAAACGCCTTTATCCGACATTGTGGTTGGTTTGATTAAACAAACTCTCTCACTCACTCTCTCTCTCTTTATCTGAACCTCCAACCTTCATCTTTTAATTACTAATCTCTTACATCTCTCATCTCAATGCGTTTTTACTATCGTATAATAACCGCCGCTTACCTATTTTTCTCTCTTAATCCCCTTCAAGGTATCACAAAGGGACCAAAAAGTTCTACGTGTGTGTCTTTCGCAGCCTGCAAAACCAACCAACCAAATACACAAATGAAAATTCTGAGCATAAGCGATATGAGATGTACCAATGTTAGGCCCCACAGAAAACGCTTAGGACCTAGTTAAGAATAAATTCTATGAGCAACAACAGTTTGTAACTATAAGCACGATCCTATTACTTGCTATTGACTTCAACGTGAAAATTGTTGTCGATAATTCAGAATATGTCACATATCAACGGGAACCATGGAACTAAAAATTATATTACAGACTTCTTCATCGCCAAGTGTCAAGGAGATTCATTACAATATCCAGCTCCCCATAAAAATATTCGTAAATATACCTGGACAATGCCGAATGACAATACAAGAAACCAGATAGATCACATCTGTTCGACGCCAACAATGTCAAAGCTCTTTAATAGATGTTTGCACAAAACACAGGCCATATAGGGATAGCAAGGGTAGAGAAATGATGTTAGATAACTGATAAGGGATTAATTTAAAATCGGAGATAGGTATGAGAACATTTTTTTAAGGAATAATAAAAGAGTCTTAAAACTCGATTGGTTCGAATAACATACGAAAATTATAACAGACTATTAAACGTTTGAGGAATCAGACTATTTTCAACAATAAAGACATCAGGAAGAATGACGCATCATGATGGTAGAATACAGACAAATGTGAATTCCCCCGGGGCATGTTCTTATAATGATCTTCTCTATCTTGGTGTTTTTGCAATCGGGGGAAAATACTATACCTCTAGTCTGCCGTGACTATAAAATGGTGGTGTCGAATGTATCCTCGGCCTTCCCTTGGAATAATTTGACCTGGAGCTGAACCAGAGAAGATATAATCTCTGCCCACAGGGCAGAGTTTTGGACTTCGTTCACATGGGTTTAAACCCAAACTCGCAGGAAGAGAATGTTGGTTAAAAATTGATGCACGGTGAAGTCTACAATTCGGGATAAGTTCGGTGCTGTTGCCAAGACAACATATACCCCACCAGTACCTCTAGTCTACCGGAACTATAAACTGGTGTTCACAATTCACTGCCTGGCCTAGTCCTTTCATGAATTGAAAAGAGGTCTAACCAGATCACCACATAATCTGGTACTACGGGTGGCACGTTGCCCACAGGACTTGTCCTGGCTGGATCCTTCGGTATCCACGTAGTTGAAACCTAAATCGCAGGAAGGGGGTTTAAAGATTGATACACGGTGAAATATAATTTTGAATATACATCTCTGTTATCGCTCCCAGATGCGGTACAAACTACATAGCATGACTGTGGATTAATAAAATTTTGGATTTGAGCTGATAAGGTTATACGAAGGAGTTGATTGTTGTTGTATTCAAGATTCGATTTAGTCGGATGAATAGTTGATGGATTTGACGGATGATGCTGATGTATTCTGATTCGATTTTGTTGGATGGAGTAATTGATGGATTTGGCGGAGAGATGTGCTGAACTGAGGTTTGGCAAAACGGAGTATGGTGCGAAGTCGTCACTACCCTTTCATTAATTTATCGGCGATTTTCCTTTATGGTTGAGTGTGTTGGAGTTTATTCTAAAACATGCTCAACTTATCACAGTGGGTCTTTGTGGCCACTGAAATATGTCCTGTCTATTAATATCCGTGTTTCGGACTACCAATTACGTTCCCTAGGTGATGTTGCCGAATCAACAGAGCCATCTCAGTAGTGTGGTTGAGCGACATATAAGGTTTTACCTTTGTCGGGGTTAGATTGAGCATGCTCATGACACCTGTTCTTGCTCAACTTATCACAGTGGGTCTTTGTGGCCACTGAAATATGTCCTGTCTATTAATATCCGTGTTTCGGACTACCAATTACGTCCCCTAGGTGATGTTGCCGAATCAACAGAGCCATCTCAGTAGTGTGGTTGAGCAACATATAAGGTTTTACCTTTGTCGGGGTAAGATTGAGCTTGCTCATGACACCTGTTCTTGCTCAACTTATCACAGTGGGTCTTTGTGGCCACTGAAATATGTCCTGTCTATTAATATCCGTGTTTCGGACTACCAATTACGTCCCCTAGGTGATGTTGCCGAATCAACATAGCCATCTCAGTAGTGTGGTTGAGCGACATAAAAGGTTTTACCTTTGCCGGGGTTAGATTGAACTTGCTCATGACACCTGTTCAACGGGACTACTACTATGGCAAGAGATTAGATAGCTCGAGTACTTGAGCAAAGTACGCGTACAATGGACCGGCATCCATATATGTAAATTGCAACCTTCGTGTAAGAAACACAAAGGGCGGTAGTGAGTCGTTATATTTTTGCTCACCCAGTGGATGAAAAAGACCACCGTGAGACAGGCCAACACGGCAGGTACTCACGTAAATTACTTCGGCAATCACCGCGCAGAGGAGAACTTAGCATTGGAAATTAGTTAGTACGAATTGTATATGATACGGGATGAAGCAGACAGTGGCTAAGTATAACCCTAGTTCTAGTTCAGTGGGACTCTAAAATACATTAGCATTTAGAATTTCAATTAAGTTCACTATATTAAAATGAAATATCGTTATATACTTTAAATTCCATTTAGATATAAATTTATATTATTGGTAATTTTAAATCAAGACCCAAATCCATATTTGATTGGTGATTATTTTTGTTTCCATTGCCGCTTATAATATTCTGGAAAATATTATAATATTAATTAAGAAATATGTATATTGATGATAAAGAAATTAAAACTTACATGCCCGGAGGCTGACACTACACCGGCAACAATGCAACCAATAATGACAAATAATTTCAGGAATTTCATTCTTGTTTTGTAAAAAAGATCGGTTATTGTCCTTTTCGCTTTAAAATGTATTAGAATACTATGATATATTGGATTGAGTAATAGCGTTTTATATCTTTTAATTTCAAGCTATTTTTATACCCACCATCAAAAATGATGGGGGGTATATTGTTTTTATCATTCCGTTTGTAACACATCGAAATATTCATCTAAGACTCATAAAAGTATATATGTTCTGGGTCCTTATTAGATTCTAAGACGATCTAGCCATGTCCGTGTGTCTGTCTGTTGAAAACACGTTAGAGCCAAAACGGGAACAGCTATGGAACGGAAATTTTGCACATATATTTTTGTTAATGCTGGTTTCTTGATATTGATCCGCGATTGGTGCACGCCTAGCCACCATACAAGGTCCCCTTCAGAAAATGACTTTAATGCTCATAACTGTCTAGAGGAAGCAGGTTTTATAGAAACGTAAATCTTTTTGCAACATTTTATAAGGATCGGCCCATAATTGACCCTACCCGCCATATAAGGTCCCCTTCTGGAAATGACTTTAACGCACATAACTCTCTAAAAGAAACATCTATAGCGGCGAAATTCGGCATACACATGTTTAATAGGAACCTAAATCTCTTTGTCAACTATTATAAGGATCGATACATAATTGACCCAACTCCCATATAAGGTCGCCTTCAGAAAATGACTTAAACCCTCAGTACTACCTTAAAAGTACGGATACAGCGCTGACACTTGACGCAAATATGTTTCATAAAAGCCAAAATCTCTATACCAAATTTTTTGAGGATCGGTTCATAATTGACCGCATATGAAATAAATATTCAATATCATATTCCGAGAAAATTGTGGGTGGTAAAAGGAAACCGGTATTAGATTCTGATTCAGCACCTAAGAATACATAAAATCAAGTCAAAATGTTTTTAAAAGTTTTTCGTTGTCCTGTGTTATTGTTCTGAACAGAATACATTTCTGGGAAAAGAAAATAATGCATGACGAAATTCATCGAATTACCTGTGGAAAATTCTGAGTAAACCACTGAAGAATTTGGAAAAAGCTAAAATTCTTTTAGAGGAATCGATCGATTTAAAAGTGTATAAGGAACCCGAATCTATATACTTCTTTAGGTCTCAAATTATTTCTTGGTGTTACAAACGGTATAACAAACCTATATATACTCTCTATTACGACTGATGGTGATGGAGAGTATAAAATTAATTGACTGTTGTAGTATATGACTAACAGTTTGTGGGCCTATGGTATATTTTATACTTATTTTAAGCAGACCTAATGCGTAAGTATTCTCGTATGACTAAAATTTATAGAAACCTATTATTATTGACTCAAGAAAATAACAATTGTTAGAAAAATTGTGATTCCTATAAAATTTATTTACTAGAAATGTTCATACAAGAACATTTTCTAAATGAGGAGTTATATGGAGGCAAAGGGTTAATATGGTCCATCCTTATAAATTTTGGTAGAGGGATTTAATTCTACATTAGTTATTTATGCCGAATATTATCATGATATTAGTGTTTATAAGTGAGTTCTGACCATCAAGTCTTTATCTGCATCGGACTTTGGATGGGGGATAGGTTCAAATGAGGCCCGATCATGACTAAAATCAGCAGTATCATTATAGGTATAGGTTGATAGGAGGATGTATACCACATCAAATCCGAAGAAATACACCTAGGCCACTATCGGGCCTGTTGTGCGCTCCAATTCATGAAAAAAAAAAAATTGTTCACTGAATGTATTATTTTTCTATGTTCAGAAACTCAGTTTCCTGGACGTAATTCCTAAGAATCTTCCAATCGGTGTTGTAACATCACTTCCAAGATACTTGGATCTAACTTCGACGAATGCCTGACAATGGCAAAGAAAGTGCTCCAGAGTTTCACTGTCCTCTCCACATGCTCTACATTCGTCTGAATTCGCACGTCCAATTTTGTATAGATGTGCTCGTAATCCTGTGTGTCCACTGAGAATACGTACCATCATACTAACCTCAGACTTGCTCATTTTGAGAAGATTTCTCGTCTTGCTCTCATCAGGGTCACCCCATAGAATCTTTGTGGTTCTACCCACCGTTTCATTATTCCAAGAGGCCTTATGGGATTCTCTCATCCATATTTTTAATTCAGCTTTTGTTGCGTCGAATGGTTTTGCGTTTGTCAGGTTAACTACATCGAGCTCCCTTCCCTTTAAAGCTATTACATTCGCCCTTTCGTTGCCGATTACTCCCGAGTGGCCTGGTACCCATATGATGTGAACCTTACCTCTGGGAGAGTATTCAGTTAAAGCTTTCTTACAATCCAATACGGTCTTAGATTTAATTCTATCACCTGATATCGCACAAATTGCCTTCTGGCTGTCGGTTTGATATTACACTTTTTGTCCATGCAGTCCACCAGATTATTGAAGCATAAGCTAGAATTGGTCTAATTACACTTTTATAAATCCAATTTGTCATAGTAGGACTAAGACCCCATTTCATGCCTATGGTTCTCCTACATATCGCCCAGCACCGATGTGCCTTGTTGATCCTATCCTCTATGTGGTGTCTCCATTTTAATTTCCGGTCAAGTATTACACCTAAGTACTTAACTTTGTCTGTCACCGGTATCTTCTTGCCCAAGAAGCAAGGTTCAGTATATGTAGAAATTTTTGTCTTTCTTGTGAAAAGACAGATTTCCGTCTTCGCCGGGTTAACATTGAGGCCTCTCGGTTGAGCCCAGCTCAAGGCCGTATTCAGAGCCTCCTCAGCTCTTCTACACAAGTAATTTGGATCCTTTCCCTTTAAAAGTATTACGACATCGTCTGCATAGCAGACAGGTCTAAGTCCTTTCTCGGTTAGGGTCCTTAGGAGGCTATTAATCGTGGTGACCCAGAGTAAAGGTGACAAAATGCCACCCTGTGGTATACCGCGAAATACCTTTTTCCTGATAGTTATGTCGTACATCTCGCAGCTTATCCATCTGTTCCTTAGCATATAGTTGATCCAGTTACGGAGCACCCGGTCAACATAAAACTGGTCTAGGGATTGGATAAGGGTATCAGTGTGCACGTTATTGAAAGCGCCTTCGATGTCAATGCATACTGCCAGTGTATACAGTTTGCTATCGAAAGATTCACCTATGTAGTGGACAACTTCATTTAAAGCGGTTTCCACCGATCGTCCCTTTACATAAGCATGCTGCTTATATTTAAGGTCATTGTATGGTATGCTGCTTTTAACCATGCTATCGACTATCCGTTCCAAGGTTTTAAGTAGGAAGGACGTAAGACTTATCGGTCGATAGGACTTAGGTGTCGCATAGCTAGGTTTCCCTGGTTTGGGTATAAATATTACCCTTGCATCCTGCCATTTAACTGGGGTATATGCCAATTTTAAGCATGCAGTGAATATCTGTGACAGATGTACGGAAACCAGTCCCGCCTCCATCTGCAAAAGTGCCGGGAAAATTCCATCCGGCCCTGCAGCTTTATAGGGAGCAAAGCTCTTGATTGCCCCTTTAACCATGTCAGTTGTAATAACTATTTCCGTGTTACCCTCCCCTTCCTCCAATATCGGTTCATCTATGTTATTCGATATACCGGGTGGGAAATGAGAATCCATTAGGAGTTTCATTGTCTCCTCCATATCCTCAAGCCTCCTGCCCGTGTCATCGATCATAGATTCCGGTTGGACATGAGTTTTGGATAGGAATTTTTTTATCTTCGATACGTCATTTACGCTATCTACCTGTTCACAGAAAAGTTTCCAGGAGTCTCGTTTGGCTTTTCGAACGATTTTCTTATATTCACCAAGTTTATTACGATACTCATCCCAGTATACTGCGGTCTTTTTACGCCGTGCCCGGTTAAATAGTTTGCGAAGAGTCTTCCCAAGGTTCCGGATCTCCCCAGTTACCCAGGGTTTTTCCTGGGCAGATCTCCGCTCTCGCAGAGGGCAGCTGTCCTCGAACGATTCAACCAGGACACTTGTGAACGTTTCCACTTTGGCATCTATATCATCTTTATTTCGACATTGAAAAGTGTCCTGACCTAAACGGTTCTTTAGTAAGGTCCCGAACATTGTCCAATTAGTTTTAGACTTATTCCGAAACTTTATCGGCTTTGGTGGTGGCCTTTGTATTTTGAATCTTATGTACCTATGATCAGAAAAGGAGTGCTCGTCCGAAACTCTCCAATCCTAAATTTCGTTTATAAGCTCTTCTGAACATATAGTTATATCTAATACTTCTTCTCTGATTCTATTGACGAAGGTAGCTTTATTACCTAAGTTCAATGTTATCAAGTCTTTAGTATTAAAGAAATCCATGAGGGCTTGTCCCCTGCGATTGGTGTTTGTACTACCCCAAGCTACATGATGCGAGTTGGCATCACAACCTATTACAATTTTCTTATTTTTCCTTTGTGCCTCTTCAACCAGTTTCATCAGATCCGACGTTGGTGGTAGTGTCGGAGAATCGAAAGGCAGGTAAATAGATGCAAGGAATATGTTGCCACGACCTTGCTTCAGCACCGTTGCATCCGATGTTGATAATCCTGTTGAGAGGAGAAAACATAAGTTCTTGTGACATAAGATACATGTTCTCGGGCGAGATCCTGTATCAGCGTAGAAAAGTTGGAAATTTACGTGATTTAATCCAGAAACCTTGTTGCGAATCGTCCAAGGTTCCTGGATTAAAGCTATATGTATTTTACCTGTGTTGATTTTAGCCATCAGAGCGTTGGTAGCTGTCTCGCTCCGATGGAGGTTTATTTGGATAACCTCAATCATGGTCATCCATTAAACTGTCTTCCAGCGAGTTGGTGGTCACCTCCTCGCTCTTTGGATTTGACTCCTCCGGATAGCCTGAAGTGGCTATTAATGCAGTGAGTACTGTTGATGGCACTGCGGTGTCCTTATCAGGCATAGGAATAGCAGTATTTTTAATAGACACATTCCCAATTCTGGAGAGCATTGCTGTTCTGTCTTCTGGCGGGTGAGTGATTTCCTCCTCGCTTTTAGGATTTGACTCCTCATCATTGCTAGTACTTGCTAATG